ATCATTGTCTTTCAGGATGAATCTTGTTGTCTCATGTCTCAGTTTAGTCATTTTAGTTTCTACTGAGAGTTCCTACTTAGGTCTTGCAAACTCAAGGCTGTGGCTTTCTTTACCAAGGCAATCTATCTTATGTTAAGTCTTCCTCTTTTCCTACAACCTTCAACTTTTCATAGCATCATTGTCTTTCAGGGTGAATCTTGTTGTCTCATGTCTCGGTTTAGTCATTTTAGTTTCTACTGAGAGTTCAGGCTTGATTTGATCCAGCAGCAACTTATTTTACTGGTGTTTCTTCCACTAGTTTTCATTCCACCTTCCCTGGAATCTCATTCATTTTTTTTTTTTTTGGTCTGATATCATGCACGTAGATGGAATATATAAGAAAGTAAATGTGCCCTTGGCTGACACCTTTGCTAATCATTCTTCATATTCTGTCCTAATACTAGTCTCTTGCCCAGACTATGGATCGGGACAATCAAAGCAGAGCCACCCCCATTTCCCAGGGATGTTGACAATTCTTTAGGTACCAAGTCCGGAGTCCCAAGCCCCAAATCCAAGACCCTTTTAGAAACAAACTTACCCCCCCCCCATAAAAAAGGATATGTGTGTGTGAATTCCAAGTCACAAGCCGAGTCCCAGTCAAGTTACAGGTGTGACTTAAGTACAACTTGACAGTGAGTCTTGCGATTCAAGTCCCCATCCCTTTCATTTCCTTTATAACAATCCATGCATTTCCATAATCCACACAGTCAAAGAATTTGCTGTAATCCATAAAGCACAGCTTGATTTTCTTCTGAAATTCTTTAGTAAGCTCCAGTAGTCAATGAATTTTTGCAGTTAGATCACTAGTGCTTGTTCCTTTTCTGAACCCAATTTTAAAATCTGGCATTTACCACTCCGTATATAATTTAAAAATCATTGCAAACTCTTGAGCATCATTGGTTTGCATGGTAAATTAATTTGATGGTACTATAATTACTGCGCTCCTTAAGGTCTCCTTTCATAGATATTGGAATATATATATAATGCTTCCAGTTTATTTGCTTTTGTTTTGTTTTCCACATTTGTTTGTATATTCTTGTCAGGATTTTGATAGATTCAGTCTCTGCAGCTTGAAAAAGCTCTACTGGTATCCATTTACTCCTTGTAATTTATTCTTTTCAATTGCTTCATTTTTAAAAAAGAAAAGGAGCATGAGCTTCAGGAAAGTAAGAAAATGGTTAAAGGGGGGAAAAAGGCAGACTGCAACATGTTGTAACAATGGAAATGCAGAGGGCCTCATTTGAAGTTTCTCAACTAATAGCAAAAAACAGAAAACTGTACACAATCGCTGAAAAACATGTACTGTACTGTATTACCTGCTGCCAAAATGATGGTTTCTACATTGATCAACGAGAAAGCTGCCAAGGACCTCTCCTTAATACCTTTGTCAAATGACATAGTGAAGAAGTGAATTGATGGATCGCCAGCCAATATCAAGGTACAATTATTAGAAAAAATTTGCATGTCCCCCTACTTTGCACGGCAATTGAACGAAAGCACACACACAACAAACAAAGCGACATTACTGAGCTACGTTAGATTTGAGCACAAGAGAAATGTTTTCCAAGACCTACAGTTCATCTCCTTGTTGGTACACTTCGTGGCAGAGTCGACATTTGCTCTTAGCACTAATTCCTTGAATCTTAGCTTTTATCACATTGGTTTGGAGTGCTTGTTCTTCTGTAGCAAAAATCAAGCCTCCAGTTTCTTAACAGTCCCCAGTTTTAGTCATGCCCATGTTGAATTATGATCACTCTTTTTTAAAGGGGTAGGAAAGAAATAACAAATCCAGGTCAAGGAACCACACACAAATTTTAAAAGTGACTAGCATTAACCCAGGAGACCACAAGCAGATTTTTCAAAAGATGGGGGATACATTTCCTCCAAGGGTAGCGAAGGAAAATATGGCTATTTAATTAAAATTGGGAAAGCTAAAAATGGGAGGGGAATGTTTGCAGATGCAGATGCTAAGTTGCTTTTTTGCAAAATGTTGCTCTTAATTATGGCTTCATCAACTCAAAAGTTGAAAAGGGTAGACTGCTTTGCACTGACATGTTTACCAGAAGAATTATTTGTACAAGACATCAGGGGAACGTCTATGTTCGCAAACATTGCAATTAAAAACATTTGCTTATGGAAGCCACTAAAGCCCTTAAGTCTACAGGAGGTATTATATGGAAGTGTTTTTATTGTCTAACCTCAGTGACTGATACAGGTTTGCTCAGTTTTTATCTAGGAGATGAGGGTTAAAAATACTAAATTGGACTGCTTCCTGGCTTACGCCCCTAATTTTCAGTCTCACTTCCCAGTCTGTTCAAAAGGGAACTGAAACCAACCCACACAATAACGTCAGAAATTCTGTGAGAAATAATTTTATTAACTAACATTTCATAATCTAACAGTGAGTTTAAAAATAAGGAGCAATAACAAGAATTATAGATTAAGAATGATTTGTGCTTTTATTTATTTCCAAAAATTATCTCCCAGTTTTCAACAGGGAGAAAACTCCATAAGGCAAATTACAACAGATCAAAATGGTGTAAAACCAATATTAGGTCAGATGTGACTTAATGGAATGTAGCAAAAGCAAACCAACTTCCCATCCTCCTCCATAAAGGGGCAACTCAGCAGCAGTCCTCAGTTATCCTGCTAATAAACGGAGACAGCATGTGATCACCTTCAGTTCCGTAATACTAGGCTACGTGCTGAGAGGGGTGGGGTGGGGGAAGCATTTTATGCTCTCTCTTTTTTCCCCATTAAAAGGAGGAATGGGCAAAAAAGGACCAACTGGGGTGCGGTGTGGTTTCCTGCTCCTAACCACCATATTAACTAACTAACTAACTAACTAACTAACTAACTAACTAACTAACTAACTAACTAACTAACTAACTAACTAACTAACTAACTAACTAACTAACTAACTAACTAACTAACTAACTAACTAACTAACTAACTAACTAACTAACTAACAACAACAACAACAACAACAACAACAACAACAACAACAACAACAACAACAACAACAACAACAACAACAACAACAACAACAACAACAACAAAGGAATTATTATAGTAAATATATAAAACTTCAAGATGGGGGAAAAGGGGGAAGGAAAAAAAAATGAAAGCTAGACCACAAGAAAAAAAGAAAAGAGACAGATATTAACGGGAGGGGAAGGCTGCCTGAACATCCAGGTTTTTAGTTGGTTTTTAAAAATACCCGCTGAGGGGGCCACATGAATCTACGGAGGGAGATTGTTCCATGTGGATGCAAGGAGCATCCCGAATTGGTGTGTGTGTTCTCCAAAGTCCTGCTCTATCACTGTCTCCACTACACCACACAGGGTGTGATGTATGGTATGCCATGTGTCAAAATGATCCAACTTGGGAACTCCTGCTCTGTCACTGTCTCCACTACACCACACTGGGTGTGATGTATGGCATGCCATGTGTCAAAATGATCCAACTTGGGACAATTTGGCTGTCAAGCCACACCTTTAGTGAATTTGCTGACTGGTTGTTGTTGGGAGTTCGAGTCCCCACTGAGCCTCCTGGGACAAAACCCAGCCTGTGCAGTCTTTGGCAAAGTGCACAATCCCAGGGCACTCCAGAAAAAGGGAATGGTAAACGACTTCTGGGTATTCTGTACCTTGAAGACTCTGGAAAGTGTTGCCATAAGTTGGAACCAACCTGATGGCATCCAATGATTATTAATTAGAAACTAACAAGTTTTATTGGGTGTAAGCTTTCAAGGACTGCAGTCCTCTTCTTATGAATTGTCTAAATATTGCTCAATATATGATACAGCTGAACATTTATATTCTGGACCTCATTCTGTATGCTGTAGGACAGACCTCAAGTTTTATGATGATTCTATTTGGGTTTTTCAAGGTATGTAAGATATTTGGAGCAGTTTTAGCACTACCACCCTCTTAAGTAAGTTCCCATACCCCTCCCAAGGATTTGAACCCAGGTCCTTCTGATTCCTAGATAGACATTCTATCCATTCCCTCACACTGGCTCTCTTTAGCCTTAACATCTATAACTCACAAATGTGTGATTCCATGAAAAGCGGTGTCACAGCGGGGCCACCGGCAACTCCTCCAACCCCAGCCAGCCTCTCCGCTGGCAAACAAGAGGAGAAGAGTCCAGGAGTTGTGATGCTCCCGCACCCTTTGGATTACTGTCATTACAAATACAGTACAAGCAAGTAAGTGTCAGGTGGAGGAACTGTTGATCCAACCGATGGATGGTATCAAGTTTGGGGGGGGAAAAATCACAGAAAGCCCGTGAGGTTTTTGTTGCGGTTGTTTTTAAATGCTCATCTCTCTTCATCGGTTGTATTTGTGTGAGTGTTTCAAAAGACGCCTGGAGGACGACTTCGATCTTGCTCAGGTTAAAAATCTCTTTAAAAGGGGGGGGGGGCTGGTTTATTATGGTCAAACTAAACAACAACAACAAAAAAAACACACAAGCAAAGCAAATGCACGCAGACTAAAAAGAAAATCCCCAAATCAGGAATGACTGAAAATAAAATTTCTTAACAAAAGTTGGTGCTCGGGGACGAGAGGGAAGAGCAGGTTCTGTGGAGAGAGCCGGCCGCTTTGTCAAGAGCTGGCACTGCCAGGCCGACGCGCAGAGGAAGCTTGAAGGCACCCCTAATAAAGGAAATAGGTGCGTGGCCCCAGACACGAGCGGCGGCTG